AGTATCCAGAACGTGTCTGCGCAAACGAACGCAAGTGTGATCTCCAGAGATGCGAAACAGGGAAGGTTACAACGCGCGGCGTGCGAAAATAACTAGTGCTAAAACGTGTCAGTGGCGCTCTTATAGGTCACTTGGACGAACACGGTGTGGTGTGGGACCGTTAACAACCACAGAGGGCAGTAAACGCATCATATATACGGAAAAATGACTAAATGGATTTAGCATGAACATCGAAACTTTTATGAGGATTCAAACAGGCGATATGGTCTCCAGTCAATCCCCACACGGTAGCGTGCCGGCTTTCAAGTAAACACTTTCTCCTGCTACTATTATTTTGGGAATGTTCCGGTTCAGCAAAAGGAGTCGGTCACTTTCTCTGGGAAATACAAGTACGCTTCCCCTTGCGTGCTGACTGCATGCTGTCGACAGTGTTTCACTATTGGCCGCGGTCACAGTGCTTCCTTAGAATCTGATTAATTGATGGCTGCGGGACGTTGATCGGCTATTCCGGAAGGTTTTTCTTTATACGGACTAGACAAAATGCTAGCTAACCTGAAGGGGAGGTTAAAAAATACATGCAGTTTTTCAGTGTGAGTGACTTACACATTTTAATACATCATCCCAGGGCTTATCTTTTTTTCTGGCGTCTTGGGGTTTTGGACAATATAGCACGTATACGGGTCGACTAACTGCTGACTATCAGGCGAGGGTGTAAAAAAGTGTAAACAAAATAAGTCGAAAACGAGGAATGCTCATTCAATCCGCTCTAAATCATTGTAACGGGAATACTATTTTACAGAAGGGATACACGAAAAATCGCATCTTATTTGCCTCTTGCATCTGGTGGAGAAGGGAAACTTAATTTGACAAAAGAACTGTCGAAAGCGGTGTATTCTGGAACAGACAGTGCGTTTACACTTGCTTTCGTCACTTCCAGACCATATAGTGTGCACTTTTTGTGGAAACGAATATACCGAAGCCTACATACATGTCTCTTGTAAGACGGCTGCTGATGCTAATGGAATGTTACATAGTCTGTGAACAGGAGTGATAAACCTGAGAACTACAGTCTACGCGTCTCAAAATTATCGCGAGTAAAACCTTTTTTCTAGGAAACAGAACACACGCGCCCTGTAGGGCGAAAAGTGCTTAGAAAAGGGCACTCTTAAAGACGGTATAACGTGAGGCACGAATACGCTTGCGGTCACAGCCCAGGATAAATAGTTACATAATCCTAATTAAGTAGTAATTTCTATAGGAAGACACAGGCGAAAATCCTGCCAGTGTTCCAGAAAATTTGGTGCATGCCGCAAAAACGGAAAATTATACCTAAACGGAGTTGATATAACCGTAAAAATACATATTGGTTCAGTCCAGTTTCGATATTGCGCAAGTGAGCGACTGAAGACGTTGTCGGTTGTGGTTGTAGAAAAACATTAGCGCAGACACTTCAACACGGTGAGTCGAAAAAGGTTCAGTTCGTGCCATTGTTTCGCGGAACGCTTATCTCAAGTGAGCGAATGCAAAGGGCGAGGTAACTGAAACGACCGTTTTAGATTTAGCGGTCATCGTCAGCTATCCCTCGCTGCAGCAGTATTGTCTAGGGGTCTAGCGCACTACCCTTAATGAAGTAAACACCGTACAACCTGCCTTTATTAGGGCTGGAAAATTGCAAACAAGTAAAAAATAGCAATAAATATGTATGGCCCTCACGATGTCCACAACGCCAATAAAAACTATTATAACTAATCGCTGTGACGACAAGTTCATTCCTATGAGTGTGGTTGTTCGCCAAAGAAATGTGACCCGATAAGATTAGGCAGATGGACGGAGAAAGTAGCTTTGACCTTAGCTAAAGATTACTATGGTGCGTGTTTACACTGACCCCGGCTGCTTCACTTCTCGACAGAACGAGGTGGCTTGAAACCCAGGAGTCCACGTATACCTTTCTGCTAAACATGGGTACAATGTCCGATGGACGTGTTTAGCACATAACTGTTGAAAACTATCCTTCACGGCACTGAGGCGAGAGGCGAAGATGAACCTTAGGAATTTAACCAGCGAATGTGAAAAAAGTTGATGTAAACACTTTAGTTGTATACATACGGAGAAGAAACTAATATGCGAAAAAATTCGAGGTCCAGATAAAATATTCATCATCCCCCGAAAAGGAAGAAGAATAGACGATTTCTCGAACCAAGGTGTATTTTAGCTGACGTTTCAAAAGCTCATAGACCGGAGTCAACTCTCAGACAACAGATCCTAAGGCCCAAAGACCTGCCACCTTTGACAGAACAATCAGCTGTGGTCTGCAGCATACCATGCCAAGACTGCACTACAAGGTATGTCGGTAAAACGGGCAAACGCCTTGGCACAAGA